GTTTGTTCTATAGTACAATTAAATTATATTAAATCATATCCCACTGATTCCCATAGATTGGTTGGTTAATCGCACGAAATTCATCGAAATTCATCCATGTTCATCCCCATGAAATCAGACCCCATCCCGCACACATGACTACCATCTGGTTATGACATTGCCAGTTCGCCAGTTCGCCATGGAAAATCAACACCATTTTATAGCTAGGTAAACCATCTATTTCGATTGGGCCATTTTCAATAGCTATGTTCGTTTACCAGAGGGTATCTATAATAGCTGTAAGGATAGATCATGTCTGAACAAGTCTTATAGTGGTGTGTTCTTGCGATGGTTTAAATCCGCATTTCAACATCAAGGGTGAATCAAAATGGTACAGTACCCCCTTGACTAAAGCACCTTGAAATATGTATGAAGCTGGGCAAACGATTTGGGTAAATCGTCCAAAAAAACACAAATCTGACCTAAGGGCAAATACAATGCCCAAAGCTGATCTATCTGATTGTTTGCTATATCCATCTATGGTGCCTTTTCCTTACATACTATTTACATTTATTTACATAGTTTTTCATAGCTGATCGCAATTCCAGAAATGAGATCGCCTGGAGTATTTAGATAGAAATTTATTGAGCAACAGTTTTTTTTATACCATTCATATCAGTTTAGTTTTTTTGGTTGGAAATGGTTTATAGCTTTATTACAGATTTTGTGCCAATCATTTCTACTAGTACATTGAAATGTCCAGCTCTGCAAGCCCAAGGATCTTGAGGAGCAACGCAGCTAGGGGCACCTCGGAACAGGAGGGATATACCCCAGCTGTAGACATGTGGAGTATTGTGGAGGTATTGCCGACCCCGGCCGGCAGCAAGGGGGATGGCGCCAGGGAAAAAGAGGTTTCCCCTTCACAGCAACAACGATGACAACAATGACAACAATGACATCAACTATAATAACTACAACTACAACTAGAACTACCACCTCCACTACCACTACCACTACCACTACCACTACCTACCAGCACCACGACCACTACCACCACCACCACGACCACTACTACTACGACGACGACGACTACTGCTGCTGCTGCTACTGCTACTGCTACTGCTACTAGAACCTTATAAATTATATATATATGTATACTACTATATATATATATTTCTTTGTATATATTACTACTATTATTGCTACTACCACCATTACGACGACGACTACTAGTACTACTTGCTCTTCTTTTCGGCACGAAATTAGGTGCTGTTTTGGTGTGGCGACGGCGAAGGGTTCTTTATGGAGGCCTCGAGAGCTGCACTTTGGAGCTAGCAGCAGAAGACATGTTTTTTCAAGGAGTTCAGTTTGTCTTCTCAAGAAAATGACTCATAATTGAAACAGCCAAATCATACTGTTGATAGTTACCGACTCTAGGATATAGTCAGATTGCTAATAACTGTATTTGTTCTAGTAAGTTACTAGTTCATAACAATAGGATACAATCTGATTGCACTTTGCGAACTGGACAAGAACCATTTTTCTGGGCCATCCTGGGGCTTCAGGAGGTGAAGCCAAAAATGCTGTGGCCATCCGACTATGGCACTGTCCATGGGACAAACTTGGAAAAGTATGACCAAACAGTATGAGTACACAATGTCATGTATCTGAAAGTTAGTACACTGCGGATTTATTGAACAATAGACTGAATACCTTATTTTCAGGTAAAACCATCTGTCACTCTTGGTGTAGATGTTCCTCCAGTAATTCAGCTTTCCAGTATTCGATGGTATCTCAAATTTAGGGAAACTCATCAAAATCACATGGTTTTCCAATGGTTTCGCAGAAATCTGTTCATAGCTCTTTGGCTCCCTTTTGGGAATATGGATACCCTTGGTTCTGGCCCGAAATACCAGTTATAGGTACTTATAACCCCATTTATAGAATGTATAATTCCCATTTATAACCGTTTATAACCAGCTATTACTAATAAATGGATACTCCTAGGCTGCGTTGCTCTCTGATGCACGCGGCTTGGGACAAGGAACTCACAAAGACGGGATCAGGATCCACGTCGTCAAAGAGATCATCATCGTCCGCCATATTCAGCGATTTCACAGCGCGAAAGTCGCGGTGCAGTGTCGGGGGTCAGTCATGGTCAGTCGCCATTTTTGTACTACTGGACCCATGAGATTCATGAGATTGGTCATTTGTTGTAACCAATCATTAATGTGGTTTATCATCTTGGGACATACCCATGTGCTGCAGTTCAATGTTGAAATATGTTGAAATCAAGGAGATGGGTAAAGATGGTTCAACCCCTAAGGATTTGGGACGCTTCAACGGTGTCAGAACTGATGACCAAGCGTTGACTCCTGGCTGACCCATCAAGCACGGCGGATGTGGTTGCCATCTGTCGATTCTTCAGATTCATTCTGTTCCCCCTAAGATCAATGATATACTGTATATATATATATACATTATACATATAGTCAAATTGATTGTATGTATGTATGTATGCATGCATGCATGCATGTATGTATGTCTATCTATCTATCTATCGATCGATCTATCTATCTATATGACCTTTAAAACCCTGGTTAAATGGTAAACAAACTTCAGTTGGAGGCCCTTACTTGGGGTCAGTATAAGGGGGAATAGAATTATGATAACCCAAGACAATACCTTCAACATCTACTTGGATGCCGCTGCTGTGGGCCAAATGCCTGCCAGAAAATCAAAGAACATGGTTAGTGACAAACAATTCAATGGCAACTACACCCTCTGGTAATTTCACAAATAAACCTATATTCATCCATCAAACATTGTGATTTCCAATGGCTATGTTAAATTTCCAGAGGGTACTGACAGAGTATTATTTCAGTATCTTTCATTGTGTCTGTTAATTTCATCGGGGCAACGGCTATCCCAGCCACCAAATAATCTCGCACCCGAACATGCTAACTCTTCAAACAGCAAGTCATGCGAAAGATGATGCGAAGACGGCCGTAGAATCAAAACCTACCATCTTCGGAACATCCATCAACATCACCAGTTCTTTCCCATCTGTTAAGCATTTCTTCTAATATGAATTCATCAACATTTATGACCAAACAGACCACATGTTTTTTGTTTGGAAAGCAAACATTTGGGTTTGTCTGAAAATGTTGGGTTAATCTTCCCAATGAAATAGCCATTTAAAAACGGGATAATGATCAGCAAAACCATTGGGAAAAAGGAGTTTTCCCAACATTTTCAGACACACCCAGATGTTAGTGGCTACTAATGATTAATGGTGGTTAATAGTGATTAATGGTGGTTAACCACTAACATTTTCCTACCAAAAACCATGGAGCAGTGCACGGTGCACGGAAGATTTAACCGTGGCCAAGGAACAGAGTACAGAGAGACCTTGGTGAAAAAGCCGTTGTGGGATTTGTGAATTGGTTCTGCAATATAAATATAGATATACATAGACACAATATGTAGATATATATAAAGTATATCACATGTATATATCATATATATATATGTATATTATATATATATATATGGGTAAAGTATAATATTCCACTAACCTGAAATGTTGTGCCATTTTGGGATGATTCCCTGAAAAATAACCATGATTCCAGTGAGGGAGAACAGTGAGATCGTTATAATTTACCCATATATATATATATATACATACACAATATACGTAGATATAAAGTATATCAGTATATCATATCTATCTATTTTTTCTATCTGTCTGTCTATTTCTCTATCTGTTGATGGATCTAATCTAACCTAATCCAATCTACTCTAGTCTAATCTAATCTAATCTAACAATGTACCTATCTGGTACATGTATATATATATATATATATACATATCTATCTATAACAGTCTGTACATGTGAATACATATATATATATACATATACTGTAATTATCAACAAACTATATTTTGAAGTTATTGGTTTTCCAAAACTCCCGTAGCCACCAGCCTCTCTGGCTGGTTTGTCTATCGGCTAGCCCAAAATCTCTCAGACTCTGGCTCATTTTCCATGAGTTGATAGCCACTAAATCCACACTTCCTTGAAACAATACCCTCTGGTAAACATACAAAAAACAATGGAAAATCACCATTTTTAGTGGGTAAATATGGGTAAATCAACTATCTCGATTGGGCCATTTTCAATAGCTATGTTAGTTTACCAGAGGGTATCTCACGTTGTTGGCTAAATATCCTACTGTGGATCCATGGTGGTTGTTTTATACCACTGCCCTTGTAGTTGGTGAAATGCCACGGTTTTCCCCCAGCTTCCCTCGCAGCTATGACTCAAAATATCTCATAAACAATCATAAACCCCTAAAGTGGATGATTTAAAACAAAAAAACATGTTTCGACTGAAAATAGGGTAAATCAATCATTTTCCCCATTAGAGCCACTTTTTGGGGTTTTCCCGGTATACCATCCTACAGTAGATGCTATTTTCCCTATTTCCAGACACGAAAAACGACCAATTTGATGTGCCCAGTTCTCTCTGATGTCCTCCATCTTACAAGACTTCTCACCCCTTTGTGGCCCATGTTACTGTACCTTGAACAACCATGTGTTGATAATTACAGTATGACAATAACTTCACTACAAATGGCTTAATAATGGCTGTTGATAATTCCATAGAATCACTACAATCACCTGTTTTTCTGTGCCTCGTTTGACAAACATAACATACAGAGGGAACATAACAAAAACAAACGTGTACTTTGCTTCGAGTAAGTCCTGAAAAAAGTGGCGAAGATTCTGACGTTTTATCGGACATATTACTCTGACATTCGATCTGACATACGTTTGTACATTTTTATCTGGGATAGTATTTGGATATGGCGAGCCTGTATTATAAAATCCACGTAAATCAGGGTAACATCACTCTAAAAGTCCACTAGCTTCCATGAAATTCCATGAAATTCCACTTAAATCCCCAATTAGATCACTATAAAATCCATAACTTCCATGGGATCCCGATATTTTCCCCATCTTCAACTCCCAGTGTTTTTGTTCCCAGTTGCTCGCCAAATGCTTGCGCCATCCGCCGCCTTCAGGGAAGTGGCCACCGGCACTGCATTGGTGTGGGCGGCAAAGGAGAACCTGCGGGCTTCGGAGATTCGCAGCAAGGATTCGCAGCAGGGATCTGATGGGAATAATTGGGATTTACATGGCTACAAGGTCATTTAATGATGATATGGGGATTTAAGCAGCAATCATAGAGGTTTAATTCTAAGAACTATGGGATTGGATTACGGGCCGGGATTTCATGGAAAAAAGGAAACAATGGTTATTCTTGATGGGATTTCACTCGCGGTTTCGAAGTTCGGAGGTCATTGATGGTGATTTTATGGTGATTTTCCAGTGATTTCATGGGGATTTCATGCTTTACAGATTGGTTTGGTACTTGGGGGTCTAGTGATGAGGGTTTCAGTGACAATCATAGAGGTTTAATGGTGAGGCCCCCTAGATAGCTGAATTGGTTGATAAACCATAGTTACTGCAACCCTTGAAATATGAATATATTCCAAGGTCATTGGTTTAGAACCCTTGAAATAGTTTAATACTAGTTATAAACCCATGGATACTTGAAATGGTTTAATACTAGTTATAAACTTGGTTTATCTATGGTTTAGTAGTATAACTGCGGCTGCGGTTTATAAAACCATGAACCAACTTGGCTAGGGGCCTCACCTTGTAAAAGCGGAGGTCGTTGATAGAGGTTCCAGTGGGAAAACCATCAACTTCTAGTGATCCAGTTAGGATTTTCTAATGGTTTTGTGGTGATTTAATGGAATTTAAATGGGTTCTATTTTGATTTCTAGTGATTCTATGGTGATTTGCAATACTCTATAGGAATTGATAATGATTTAGGGTGATTTATTAAAGTATGGTGAATTCATGTTGCTTTAATTGTAGATAGTTAAAATGATTGACAATGACTTTTATGATAGTCATTCATTTATAGATATTTATAATGATTTATAGTCATTTGTAATGATGTAATATAATCTATAGTATGTTTTAATATAGCTATAGTAATCTGAAGTAATTGACCATGATTTACAAGGCGATTTATAGGAAACTAAAGTTATTCATATTGATTCATGGTGATGTTCAAAACTCTAATGTTATGTATATAATGAATTATATATATATAGTTTTCTTTTATGGCGATGATTGAAGAAATTACATTGGCTTATAGTGATGCATGGCAATTTATAGTGATCTACAATAAGTGATTATCTATCTATCTATCTGTCTATCTATCTATCTATCTATCTATCGATCCATCTATCTATCTATCTATCTATCTATCTCTCTCTCTATCCCTATCTATCTATATCTCTGTCTATCTATCTATCTATCCTAATCTAATCTAATCTAATCTAATCTAATCTAATCTATCTACCTATCTATCTATCTATCTATCTATATATATATATGTATATAATCTATACGTATATATATATATATATACATGTATTATATATATACATATCTGCGTGTGTGTGTCTCTCTCTCTCGGACATGGAAGTATTTTACGCTAAGTTGTGTTCTGGGTAAATTACCATAAATAAACCTGAAATATGTGCCATTGTTTGAAATGTTTCCGCTTGCAAGCCAACATTCCTTAATGGTGAGGTCGCTCTACTTTGCTATGTATTCTTGTTTTTTTCTGGCAAGAAAACAACCATCATCATCATCATCATCATCATCGTCATCGTCATCGTCATCGTCGTCGTTGTCGTTGTTGTCGTCATAGTCGTCGTAGTCGTCGTAGCCGTCGCCGTCGTCATAGTCATCATCATCATCATCATCGTCGTCGTCATCATCATAATCATCATCATTATCATCAATGATGTACTGTATATTTAGTACATATGTATACATTATACATATGTAAATATGCATTCAGCATTCAAGGACATATTGATTATGATTCATGTAAAATCATGCGTTCAACCACCACCACCAAGAAACAGGGCGATGCTGAAGGACTGAAGCATGGCGTACCTTGGGAAGCCCACAGCGGGATAACTGGGAGACATCACATGACATGATCCAAAAAGTGGTGCGTTTGAAGAATGGAACATAACACATGTGAAAATATGATTATATTTATATATACCCCTCAAATGGTTTATAATTCTTAGTTGTCAACATATGCGAAAATGATGATCAACGGATATAGGGATAACCTAGGAAAGAAACAGACTCATATGGAAGGGATATAAAAGGCAAACAATCAATCACTACCATATTGTAGTGAACTGCACAACTGCTGGCTACTACACTATCATTGTGATAATATGGAATAGAATACACTTCAATTGTGACGGAAGAGTAATTACTGCAGTTGGTCACAACCTGGGGAAAATGATGATCGACCATCGAATTCTGTGGTTTTCACCCAAATGTTAAGGTCCAAACCTAGTTTAATGTTCATGATAACTCATATCATACTTGGAAAATATCATGTTTGATCATGTTTGCAAATAGACGTCTCAGTTTCTAGTAACTCTAATCCTAAAATCTTGTTGCTGAAATATCCTTCATTTGGTCTTGGCTAGTTATGCCCACGGCCAAACTTGGCCTGACGCACCCTTCAGAAAGTTTCTATTTTCTGTCGTGAGATATGATAATGCTCTTACCGAATGCCAAGAATTGCAGCTTCTATCCATTGAATAACTTATTCATTGAGAAGCAATCCCATTATCACCAGGGTTACCATGATTTACCGTGTGGCTTCTCTTGGATACAATCTATTTTCCATTCACAACACAACAAAAATCAGTCACTAACCTACCCTAAATCAAGAGATATAAATGGTTTAGAAGAAAGTTACTGTAACAATAGAAGTATCAAATCCAACATGAATAACTAAACTAAACAGGCATCAACCTACAGTATTAAAAAAAGGATCTAAGAACTGATTTTCAAGGTTGAGATTTCATGAGATTTCCCATCATATTCCTGAATCTATTGTTGTTTTCCACTAAGTCACTAATAGTTTTGATGGTTACTTAGTTTTCAATAGGACAAATATGGAATCACAATTTGCACGCTTAGTTTCACCCCACAGAGTCTGAAACTACTTGCTGATTTCGACCCCCGTGAGAAATATGAGAAATACACTTGTAATTCGGGATTAGATATCGAGGTAGGATGAAACCGCGAAACTGTTTCAAACCAACACACATATGTCCAACCAAGAAACATCTAATATGAGCTGGTTGGTGGTTGACCTACCCCTGTGAAAAATGATGGACTTCGTCAATTGGGATGATGACATTCCCAACTGAATGGAAAGTCATAATCCAGCCATGTTCCAGTCACCACCAACCAGTGAGTGTCATATATCAAAAAACATGATGAATTGTCACCCGACCGCGTCCCAGGGACGGGTCGGATTTCCACCAGACCAACTGCCAGTCGGCTTCCGGGGCCTGGAGGCTCCTGCGATCTAAGCCAGCCAAGATATGTTTGGTTTTAAGGAATACAGAGTGTTATTCTACATGTATAGATGTATAGAGATGTATAGATTATACTATATATAAATTAACATATAATAGATAATACATAGATAATAGGTATTTTTTTTAAAAAAAAACTGGATATATTAGCTTATATATGATAGGAAACTGATGAATATTCGTTGTCTAATAGGTGTAAATATATATATATATATTGAAATATAAATATAAAACTATTCAACAATATAGATTGATCTGTCTATATATCATGGTATAGTTATCAGCAATACTGTATGTTTAGTAAGGATTGAATATATGTGTTATTAACAATACTGTAACACCTTAGCAATATAAGTATGTATATAAGAAAAAAAAACAGATACTGGCTAAGGTGGTTTACGCAAAGAATATCCTGGTTTAATGGGTGTATATTGACACAACATTCATCGGCACCAACCCGTGGGATGTTGAAAAACCATGCTATGCTGTGGTGGTTCAACCAATTAAACTGATGAATGTGCGTTGTTTCATGGGTATATAATGGATATAGTTTTGTAATGGGTATATAATGGGTATATAATGGAATATAAATGGTAGAGCTATCCAATAAGATAAATTGATCTATATAAAGCGGGAAACATAACTCCAATCGAGCTGAAAAAAAACGGTATGTGAATCCTGATCCCAAAAGCAAATCATGTGATTTCCAAGCGGCGGCCTTCATATTTATGTATCGGCGCTTGATTCTGAACTGTTTGAACTAGAGCTTGTTGCATCTACATCAGAGCTGCTTTCAGCTACATCATATCCGTAGAGAAAGTTTCGTTCAGCAGTTTCTTTTTCAGGGAACAGCGTCTTTTTCACAATCCCATGGGGGGGCCATTTTGAAACATGGCAGAAAAGTTTGACAGTGTTACTGGAAAAATTAACCCATCTGTGGAACAGATTGCTATCAGGTCAATGACTTGGAACGCAGCGCACATGGGATGAATGGTCTGCGGTCTCCGGGTTTTTGTGGGCAATTGGTCATTCTGACTGAAATCCTGATGTCGTTCAGAGGTCGTTCAGAGGTCGTTCTGAGGTCGTTTGGGAGCCGAGGAAAATTGCTAAATAATGACCCTTGAATACACAGTAATTATACAATCTGAAAATCAGATCCCTGTCTGAATTCCCCGGAACGGGTAGGGTCCTCTGTGTTTCTAGTGGACGTGCACTTCTTGGGTGCGCCCAGGATAAATTCCTTATAAAATGGCCCTATCTCCAAACATTTTTTGTGCACGTGCATTGGTGGCACAGCACGGGGAAGAGTCTTGGGCTCGTAAAGACATGGTTCTAGAGGGAAACCGCTCAGGCTAGGGTCTCGTTGCAGAGATTACAAAGACCGTGCCAGATGCAATTTGCCAGCCCCAAAAAATGCATTTAGGGTGGTTCCGGGTGTAATTTGGCTGCTGATTTGTTCTAAATGCATCTAGACCTGTATATAAATATATGTAAATATATACTTATATAACTTATATACGTATATTTAGGAGGTCGTTCCAATGTCGTTCTGGATGTCGTTCAGAGGGTCGTTCCCCAACTAAATGGCACATTCCAAAATTACCAAAAACATCAGAAATAGCTGCGGCGGTGCCTGGAATTCTGAACGACGGATCGCACAACACTACTGTAAATCAACCCCTCTTTTTTTTTGGCTCAATTTATCTGTTGGGTAGTTTCTGGCATAATATGTATGTATGTATGTAAATATATATATATATATAATACATATATATATAATACATATATATATATAATACATATATATATAATATTATATAATACATATATATATATATACATATGTATACATATATATAATATACATATTATAATATATTATAATGTAGTATTCGGATGTATTCTGCAGTTATAAACCAACTTATTTTCCAGAGCTGTTTGACTCCTGGGCCTGGGGCCAAGATTGGCAAAGATTGGCAAAGACATTCGCAACCACAAATCAGACGCACGCCAAGACGTTTCCGCACGCTTTTTGTGGATATGTTTTTTTTGTTCAACATTTGGAGCCCTGAAAACCACCAACATTGGTTGATATATTTCAAATTAGCCCTGAAATTTAGTTGATAATTAGCCCTGGTATAAAACTAACAACCAATTTTCAGGGCTAATTTTCAGGGCGAATTAGTTCATTATACCCCCAACATTAATTGACATCGGTTGATCCAAAAATCCCTCGAAACACGGTAAAAATCGGTCCCGATATGAGCGTAGCTGGGAGCTTTGAGGGCCACAGCCACTGCGGTGAGGCAAATGGCGAGGACACTCAGGACACCTCGCAGCTGGTCGACTCGTCGACTGCTTCGTAGAGTTTCCATTTAAGGATAGCCTCTAGAGTTAATGGTGATGAATGACTATGGTTAGTAATCATTAATGGTTAATGATGGTTAATGATGGTTAATGATGGTTAATGATGGTTAGTAGTGGTTAATGATTAATAGTGATGGTTAGTAATTAGTGGTGAATCATGGGTTATTGATGGTTATCCTCTGGCTTTTACATACCAGAAAACGAACTGGAAAGATCCACCATGCTATGAATGGGAAAACTCACGTTTTTTTCGACTGGGCCGTGGTTTCTATGTCGCTTTTTGTATGTTTACCAGAGGGTACGACTGGGATGTCTTGGGGGATCTTGGGGAGTGATGATGAAAATCTTCAGGAAGTCTCGCGGATAAAAACACAATGGTGCTCAACTGACATCTCTCAACCCTGCTCAACTGACATCTGCTCTCAATCCAGCAGAAATTGGGGCCCGGGTTTTCCATGGGGAAACCCCAGAAATTGAGGAACTTTTGGATCAAACCCAGGTGTTTCTCAGAGGAGAACTAATAGAACCAGCAACTCTGTCTTCAATTTCCCACACATGTTCATTCTTCCACAAGAAAAAGGTTTAAGCATAATACCTTATATATAAGAAATAGTAATGATTTGTAATTCTAGACTTATAGAATACAAGTATTTTCTCCTACCAAAACACCAAGAATGATTGCTATTCCCCCAGCTTTCGTCATTTTTCCAAGGCACAAACATGTCGCAGGGCCGAGAGATCGCGAGGTAAGGAGAGTGGCCACACCACGAGAACCGAGATGATGACCTTGGTGGAGAGTGGGGTCCAAAACAGGATTCAGTGGATAGTGGTAAACAATAAATAGTGGTAATCCTATAGTGGGTAATAATAGTGGTTAATCCTATTTAGTGGTAAACAATAGTGGTTATAGGATTACTATCCACTAATAGTGGTGATCACCTTGGTAATCCTATAACCACTATTCAGTGGATAGTAATAGTGGTTAATAATGATCGCTAATCAAAAAGTAACTTTACGCGCAAACACCCCGATTCGCCCACACCCCTTCTATGCTGTACACTTGGGGATATCAAACGTTAGACTTTACATTCAATTGGGAAGATCAACAAGGGTATTTAGGGAATATATAAATTTCCCATCCCCGTTAAACTTTATATTCATTGAAGATCTTCAATAGGGGTTTAATTCTCCCACCCCCGTTAAACTTCTACATTCATTGAAGATCTTCAATAAGGGTTTGATGATGATGATGATGATGATGACGATGACGATGATGATGATGATGATGATGATGATGTGTAAGAGACTCGCACAGGTCCCTATGCTGTGCGTGCCGATATACAACATGAACTTGGCCATGATGCAAAAAACTCCCATTTTTACCACGTTTTCAGCACATACGAAGATGGCCGCCGACAAGCGCGGGCAAATCGAGGTGTTTTCCCGTAACTTTACCGTTACCCTCTGGTTATTTAACATAGCCATGGTATAGATGGCCCATGAAAATAGATGGTTTACTGTTCATAAAAATGGTGGATCTTTCCATGGCTATGTTAAATAACCAGATGGTAAACCTTGGGAACATGGGTGAACATCGGAAACTTGGTCTGCTTCGTGCAGTATATAGGGCTAAAAAACATGTTTGTTTACCCTGTAAAATGTACAATATCCAATTGGGGAGTATTTTGAATAATGCATTTCTGGTTGGTGGTTTCAACCCCTCTGAAAAAAATAAAAGTCAGTCAGTTGGGATTATTATTCCCAATATATGGAAAAATAAAACATGTTCCAAACCACCACACTTTGTCACACTTTGCGATGCGCGCAACGTTTTGTGAGACGTTGCCCGGCTTTAGGGTGGTCAGAGACCGAAGGTTGAAACAAACACTTCAGGGAACTCAGCTTTCCGGTGTCCAAACGGCAGTGAATCGATCAAGCGGGACTGTCGCTTGAAGGTTTGCCCAGCAATTGCGAGCATCCATTTGTCGACCAGAATCAGCCTATGAGGGTCCCAAGGTAGCGCCAAGACTCCTGTATGCATCTGGATGATCTGTGAGTCGGGCCTACCGTACCCCATAGCCAGTGAAACCCCCATGTGCTTCAAGGTTTCCTTGAGCAACTTGATAAACCATCGGGTGCGCTGTCGAAAACTGAATCCCAACAACCCCAAATTGGATACCTCCGCTCCATCCCTCCATTGTTTCACATGTATTGGCCCTGGATGCCCGGTGCTGCACATGTAATCAATGTACAACTGGAAATGTGAAACCCACCTCATTGGTTTGGAGCCATCAACGCTCTGCCAAAGCCAACTCATGATCAGTCTCACCATTTTGTCCCCATACCAGCGCACGGCACCGGGTGGTACGGTGAAAGCAGGCAGTCCCATCCATGGAGTGGTAGGCAAAGGCAGGTCGGCTCCCAAAGGCTCAAGCAATACCTGCACTGGCTGTGCAGCTCGCACCACCTGCTGGCTTATGGAAAGTTGAACCTGCCAAATCAAGTGATTGTAGTGTGAGACATACGCCATGGCTCCACAATGCCTAGCATACAACTCCCAGAACTCCTCACTTCGTTCCATACAGGCTTGAACCGCATGTTTATCTGCTAAATGGTTATACCGGAAACACCATTCCTCAAGAGCAGTTTGCGCAGCCAGTGGATCCTGGTGAGCTGCTACCTTCGTGATACCTGTCCGTGCCTGTCGCCTCCTAAGACTTCGGGCAATAGAGGCCCACAAATCTGCATGCGTGCTGTTGATAGCAACCGTGTGCCCCGCAAGCAACCGCCGGAGCTTCTTAACCACTGCATCACAGTCGGACCATAACATCACTTCCCCTTCGTGCATCTCAACCATCTGCAGTGCACGAGCAACGGCAAAAATTTCAGCCCGCACTGCACTCTGCAATAAACCAGGTAGAGGGCCCCTATCCAAAATTTCTGCACCAGTGTAATCATGCACACTATCAGGAGAAGCAAGAATGACTGCCCAGCCGGCAAAACGGCAACCCTGGTCATGCTGGTTATGGCAACTACCATCTGTAAAGATGTGCACAACACCATCCCTCAACGCAGTGAAGCAACCCGCATCAGGTATCTGCAGCTGTGCAAAATAGCTATTCCATTCAAGCAAAGTAGTAGGTTGCATGGCCCACCCGCAGCATGTATGTGCCTCAGGCAGTTCAACAATGGCAGCCTTCTCCTCAGTGGTAAGGTGGTCCCTTAGTGAAGCAAAATGGGGACATTCCCAAAAACGATGGTATCTGCTGTCGCTGCACTCACAAAATGGGCACTGGTCAGTCTCAACCTCTTGGCAATGCTTCTTCCCATCTTGGGTGATGTGGGTACCATTCAGGATCTTGTGAAACAGGGCTCGGTCAGACGGTTCCAGAGAGTGAACCCACTTGCGAGTGGCCATGGGGTCACATCCTTGCAATCCATGAAAACAGGGCCTATGTGAAACCTCAAAGGCAACCACCTGCAACCATTGAAATTCCAAGCGGTACTGTAATTCTGTCATGGATGCGTGAAACAGCGAAAAATCACCAAACAGGTCACACAGTTGTCCCTGGGCGTTGACATGCCAGCCTACCATTTGTATTCGTGTCAGCAAAGTACTGGAAACAGAATTGGCTGGCAGCGTGGTGTGTCCCGCCACAAGATCAGCAAGAGTGGATTCAATCATCTCCCGTTTACCGCAACAGCGATGGAGCCTAAAGGTTTGTAAGATTGACCAACAGTGCGGGTCAACAAGTGGCGATTCAACCAACCCTAACTGCACATGAGCATTGGCTCCTGAACCATCCATGCGCAGCCCTCGCATTGCCCCAGATCTCATCTGTTGGAAAGCTGTCATACTTAAGGTTGTCGCCTCTACCCCGTGTAAACCTCGTGGCCATGCTGCACAAAGCAAGGCACGCACTTTGACAATGTGGTTACAAGCCGACAATCTGAGTCTGTTCCATAGGGGCCCAAGAGAGGCAACTCGTTCCATGAGAACTTTGTTGGTGTGTTGGCGTGTGTATTGGACGTGCGCACCTAGATTCCTACCATATGTGATCATACCAAATCCCTGCTCTTTCATAAGGGAACGGCCTTGGCTGGACACTGACCAGGTTTTAGTTTTCTTGTCATCAAGAAACAGGTCCATAGACTGAACAAAGTTCTCAAGACATGTGAAAACAGGGCGAATGAAATCCGGCGAGGCAACAAGGATCTGCCAATCATCAACATAGGACAATGGTTGGCACAGCGGGAAGTGGTGTCTCATCCAAGCGTGAAACAAAACATCGACCGCTATCATCCCAAGGCAAGAAAGGGCACACCCTTCTGGCAAACCACAAGTGCTTAAGATTTCTGGGCCAATACTACCGTTGATTTGGAACCGTCTGGGCAGGGAAGCAAGGGCTCCAGCCCAGGCCTTCAAGACACGAAAAGGAATTCCTAAAAGTGCACATGCCTCAAAAACCACAGGTCTGGGCAAATAATTAAAGGCTTTTCGTATGGCAGCCACGATTCCACTCAATGGCATGTCTTCACTGTAGGCCAATTCTATGGCCCAAAGCAAATGTGACCAAACCTGGCCTGCATATTTGCCTGGCCTGCTCCCAAAAAGACCTTCCGGCAGTGCAGGTTCAACTCCACGAATAGCTTTTTTGGCATTATACGTGCCCCAGCAACGAAAGAGAAGCCCAAGCACCGTAATGGGGCGGAAATCCAGTGCATTACTAGGAGCATCAGTTTTGGCAATACAGGTGACACGCCCGGCAAGCATCTGGGTGGGCCATTCACCAGTGGTTTCAGCATGCCTAAAGAGTGATACAAAATTCTGTAGAGCAGCCGTGTTCATGTGTTTCAAGTCAAAAAGGGTAACACCATCAAGACCAGCAGTCGTGGTACTCTTTTTCCTGGCCACGGCCTGTTCCAATGCCATGGTGTCCATGGGTTCCCAGTCCAAATGCAAGCGTGGGATGTGGTGCCTAGCAAAACTAAGGATGTTGGACCATCTGTCCTGAGGAACACGGCGGTGCCGATCCCACATGTGTTTCCAAGCTTCACTGAAAGCCGCAAACAGCTCTTCATCCGAGCCTACATGGGAGGTTTGTGAAACATGCATCCCTTTGGCTAGACTAGTAATGTCCTCAAGCCAAATGCAATCATCCTCATGGTGGATGACCGACAGTGGTTTGCCTTGGCAGAGTATTGGCTTGGTCACATCAAACCCTACTGGCGAAGTGAGAACTATGGCTGAATCAGCTGGCACTACTTCCTCAATCTGAGCCTGGACTGCACGGGTGAGGACTTCAACCCCTTTGCCACTTTGATCCTTGATATCCCGGAAAATCATGTTAGGGTTGTTAGCCCTCCTCTGTCTGGCATACAAGCGGGAGGATTTCTGCAACTCCATTTCAAACTGCCGGAATGCTAGGCTCATGGTGTCAAAAATCTGCTCAGCTACAGCATGCACAGGTGGAACAAATGGAAGTCGCATTGGGGCATTAACCGTCCTCCACTGACAACTCAGCCACCATTCGGCAAATGTGGTGTGAAATCCCTTGGCACGCAAAATGGCGCCCCACAAGTCTCGTGCATGGTCCGATTCAGTTGCACCCATCCGGGCAAAGCGAACATAGGTCTGGAGTCGGCGAGTTTGCCGCAGCCATTGTGCGTGTCGGAAGGAAGCAGCCAAATAATGCGGTTGCACATCCCCAACCCTGGCTTTTTTGGGGGGGGTGAACTTGCCCTCAAGAACCGGTTTTGTGGCAATGGTTTTCGCTCTACCCATG